CGCACGGCCCGATGCGAGGACACTCTGAGCACTTCAAGCAGTTTTGGAGGGGCAGATGGTTCGGGTTCGTGAAGTAAGTTTGTGTTAGGGTTGTATCCAGAAGTTGCTTCTCCCGAGCCTTCTTGGATCACATCAGCCCCAGCTTTTGCAACTTTAGTACACAGAGATCTTTGCAGCATCTTGCTTTTATCTGCAGGGACGAATGACTTGTCGCAGCTAACGAGGAAGTGCTGAGGTCTTGAAGCGCCTGAGAGCCCCAAGAACTTCAATGTAGGCGTATTCCTCGACTGCTGCTGCCTCTGGACACTGTGCCCGAAATCCGAAGTCTTCTTCCAAACTTTTAACATATATCATTATTACCAAAAAATAAGTAGGAATGCATATGCATGTATATACATACATACATATACACACATGAACACGCCCACACCCACACACACGCACACCAGCACACCCCAAGCGCCTTTCAAGCAAAGAGCAAGGGACTGCCTTCACCGCTCTGCGCTGATGCTCTCGGCTGAACGGGGGCATCTCGAGGTTGTTCGACTTCTGCTAGAGCCACTGGGCTTGTATGTATGGACACGCAAGCCCACACATACATACATACATACATACAACACAAGTACAGACACAAACACGAATACAAATACCGTACAGCATAATCATACATACATACATTACCGCCAGACATACATAAGAAATCTGTAAACATGTGTATGTGTATATATATATATATATGTATATATAGATAGAGAGAGATATTCAGTTGTGGTCATTTTCGTCTGTAATGATGCAATCTGGTCTTACTATTTGCTTAACCTGACCCAATTGGTCTCGTTTAATCTCATCTGATGCAAAGCAAGATCAGGGTTCACCCACGCGCAGATATGTACGTGTCCAGGCATGTCTTCACACTTCCGTTCATGGTAAGTTCAGTGACTTACAGTCATCTATTTGTTTACCTGCTACGTATCCTGCGAGCATGTACATGTATTTCTTTGTTCATGCGATGCCGTTGAGACGGTTGGTTTGTCGATCGAAGTGCACTCTCCGCTTGTTTCCAACATCAGTCTGGCGTAACAACGTTCTTCTGTCCAGTATCCTAGGATGCTGTAGATGCGTGTAACGTGTGATCTGTCCCAGCCGTGTTGGCCAGACGGCATCGCCTGAAATCCATGATGCACCTTCCGGTTCTTTGGCTTCGCTGTGCTGCTTCCGGAATTGTTAGCATCACTCAGGTAAGCTTTACTGGGGTGCCGTCATACTGTGGGTAATGGTGTAGTCCATGTGACATTCCTCGAGACCTACTCGCTCAAGGGCTGGGAACTTATGGCAAGACTCTGGACTCAGGCGGAGAGCGCACCTGCATCCTAGCATCTGGGCCACAATCAGGCACAAGATTTTGCAGCATCGCGCCAGCCTTCAAAACAATGCCCCCAGCCTTCGACCTACGATTTTGAGGCCTCCATGGCCACACGGCGGCCTCTCTCGCTGCCCGCGCTAATCAAACCGCCGCTATCGAACTGTTGCTGGAGGGCAAGGTGCAGGGGTTGAACGGTTTCGGAGGAAGCTGGACTCGCATCTATCTAGTCCCAGAAGGGCTTTGTGCGTCATAGGCTTGATGATCAGACATTCGAAAGAAGGTTACATCACTCGTAAATCCAGCACGGGTGCTTGAATCTCCCTTCTGTGGAATCCAGATCGTGAAATACTATTTCCTTAAAACCAGCACCGAATCTACACAACCCTTACGGGACTCTGACTTCAGTCTTACAGAGCCGTATTACATCTCCCAAAGACCTTGGATCTGAAGGCCCCGCAAGCTAGGTGGATGTAGACTACGTGGCCTGGTTCGGAGCGCCTACGATGCTGCACATCGCAGCGTACTGGCGCTACCAGGGCCTCGTTTCGAAGTTGCTGACGCTGAAGGCTGTTGCCTATAGGTTGTAATCAATACTATAGCCTGCTATACCATGATAAAGTAATTACAGTGCCATTTGCTTGATGTTCCTTTTCTTTTCTCGTCCTTCCTATGGCCCGTGGTTCATTTATACACGAAGTTATGTACATATGTATATGGCTTATATGTAAATATATGTAATATATATATATATATATATATATATATATATATATATATATATAAGTACAAGCACATGTGTAAACACAGAATCATATATACACAATGTATGTATGTGTATACAGCTATACCTGCATGTACTGTATATATATATATATATATACATAAGTATATAATAATATTATACATGTATAATCATGTTTGTGTGTGCGATTGCGCATGTGTGTATGTATGCCTGCATGCACAACTACATACATACATGCGTAGTACTACGCATATGGTGATACTGTTGACTGGGTTTTCTCGGTGCTTGCCCTTGGTCCTTAAACTGGAAGCCCCCCGTCACCCTGGTGGAGGCGAGTACGGAAAGTCCCCTGGCGCCGGGGGGCTTGCGGCCGCTCATGGTTGCTGCAGATCGTGGCTCTCTGGAGGTTCGTTTTTTCAGATGCTTGCAGATGAAGTACATACGATGTAGAAAGTTTAACTTTTCGGTCCTAAACCGTTTTCACCCAACTGGACTCTGTCAACCCTTTGTGTGCCCTAGAACTAAGCCCCTCTAAGCCTAAAAGCATCATGTCCTCAACTGATGAGCAGATTGGGACGAACATAGCGCTTTACAGCCTGTCACTTGCAGCTTATACCATTTGCTGGAGCTTCTCTAAAGTTAAAGAAGCTCTTTTCGCCTGAGCCTCGCAGCCAGGTGTGCCAGCTCCTGCTGGGCTTTTCCGCCGAGGTCGGCGCACTGGACGATGCCGGTGAAAGCGCTTGGCAGAAGGCCTACGGTCTGACAGCTCACGAACGAAACGGCTTTCGGTAGGGTAAGCAGGCTTTCTGCGGGTCTAAAGGTTCATGTGGGGTTTGCAGAGCTAGGGTCTGCCATTTTAGGTTGGGGACGTCAACTGCGCGGCGGACGGGTAGGCTTTCGCAGGTCCGTGTTGCCATTCGCGGTTTTTCCACATAGCAGGTGTTGAAAATGACTGCTCGGTCTCAGGGTTCCTCCGCAATGTACAAAAAATGCATAAACGAATTGAATACATGGATAGATTATATATATATATATATAGATATAGATATAGGTATATAGGTATATAGGTATATAGATATATAGATATATAGATATATAGATATATAGATACATAGATACATAGATACATAGATATATAGATATATAGATATATAGATATGGATAAGTAGGTGACACAGGCGGTTTTCAACGGCGTTCGCTTGTGTCACAGATTGCGTTGAATAGACTCGCCAGGTTTGATGCCGAACGAGAACGAGACTGCGTCTTAGTAAACTGGTGCCTAATTTCACGCACGGCAGACTTCATGCACATACTTCCGCTTCGAAACTCCGCTGTCGCGCTCGCGTAAGACATGAACATGGCTTGAGTCGCTGCTTCCTAAGGTAAGCTTAGCTGAAAGAGTGACTGTACTGCTTGCTTTACAGCAGCTTCCGGAAAACGGTGATGTGGTTGGATGTGAACCCATGCACTCTGTTTATGCATCACAAAGTACTGTAGCAGAGACTCGGAACCCGCCGAGTTGAAGCGTCTTCAACCCTTCTCCCCGAACCTCGCCACGTTGCTGGCATCAGGCGGTCCTTGCCGGCAACCTGAAGATTGGGCACCTCCTAGCTGCATGCGGGGCAGCCTCTGCGCTCAAAGTCGGCCCAAGCAGAGGCGAGAAAGAGGCTTCCGAGGTCTAGCGAGTAGATCCCGTACCCGGAATTTCAAGACCAGGAAATGGAGGGAGGTCCGAGCCTTGCGGCTTCTCGGAACGTTCTGGCAAACGGAGGAATGAAGCCTCTGAATCCGTTAGCAGCTTGCCCGCTTCTTCGCCGGCAGATGCTCCAGAAAAAGCTCGTAAACTCCTGATACATGAATGCTGCTTTCATAATTGCTGATGATGTGGCAACAGCTAACGTCAGAAAACCGAGCCGAGACCAGCTCAAATATGAGCTGTGAGTTTCGGATGATGGACTAAATTGGTGACATGCGGGCGTTTCAAAGGAGGACGCCTGCTTTGTGAAATGCGCCAACTTTGCGAGGAAAGTGGCTGCGTTCTCATCAGAGCCAGTTTGAAGTGCATGAGAGCACCGCGGTATTACGCATACCACACCATGTCCCAGCAAACTCCGCCATCTGAAGCATCCTTGGCCTTCCCAGGCACCTGCCAACAACGCACACGCATCGTGTACTTGCGCTGGCATTTACGAGCACTAGTTGGATTTCAGCTGCCATGCTTATGCTCGCACCGATGTTCTGTCGGACTGTCGGGTCTCGGGCGACCCTGTAGAGACGAGCCCGAGTTAACTTCTGAACCGTACCAATCCCTACTACTCGCGACTCCAAAGCATAACCATCGTCAAAGTATCCGTCTACTGGCAAGGACACAGTGGAGTACTAAGCACAGCCTGTCCGTCTGGAAGTCGCTTCAACTAGAGTGGCAGCAACAAGTTTAACATTTTGGAACAAAAAGCGCCATCAGAGGGTTTAAGCAGGACGAACGATAGGAAGACGTTGTGATACCTGGCCTCTCAGATAAACAAGTTTAAGAAGGACATGACAGAAAGCATCTCGGTATTTCCGGATTCGACCGCTGCACGAGCTGGTGGGACAGACGAGCGAAGATTGGGCTAAGTGCAATTACTCGTTCATTAGATTTTGAACCTAGCAGAATGCACGGACTGTCTTTGGTGTCGTCGCCTCTGCTTGCCTGCGTGTTTACTTTGGGTTAGAAGGTGTTTTTGGTGGAGGAAAGGACAGACCTATAAACTGGAACCCGTTAAACGCATCATACTCCACAGCAAGACTGAGCATGTAGACCAGCTTTGCGGTCACGAAACATTCGAGGAACACTGACATGTCGCGTACCGGTTCGAAGTTTGTATGGGACGACATTTGAGAAGATGATCCGAGGACGCCCTGGGAATCATCTCCGGGAGCGTTGATCTGAAGGAGTTCTCCGATTATCGCTTGAACTTCGAAGGAGTGAAGCGTGCCCTGGCGAGTAAGATTCGCACATGTGCTCATGTTTTCGACAGTACAAGTGTAATTAGTGGTTTAGGTAACAGGGCCACTAGTAGCAGCTCCAAGAACATGAGTAGCAGAGAGTACTGCGTTGTCTTCCACTGCTACCTGCAATCACATGGCTGGTTATCATGAAGAGGACTTATAGCTTAAATAGCCGGGTTCTGAAGTGCAGTCGACATGCCTTTGGAGAGCTTGCGCAGAAGATCCTTGAAAGGCGCTCTAAAGACACTTCTTTGCATAGCTGTTGCCTTGTTTGTGTAGGCGTTTGCTGCAACAGACGATTTGGTAACAGAGTTGTGGGCTCCATCCTGCGACCGAAACCAACCTAATCGCTGCCCGTCGACATGCCGACCTGCCAAGCCGAACATTTCCCAACCTGTAGGATGAAAGATACAAGCCCGCGCCAGCAGCATGTCAGAATCTGCTCCTCACACTGAAACCAGAGCAGGATTATGCTCCTCACACTGACACCAGAGTAGGATAACAGCGAAATCTACCAACAAACTTTCAAATGGCCGACTGTAAATGACTGTAACAGGCATTTTGGGCAAGCTTCGGGAGACCCAGGGTGGAGGAGAAGTTGAGCTGCCGCTCAGCTAGTTCCAGCATGTCTCAGGACTTTGGACTGGGTGCCGACCAAAGTTTTGACAACTTGGTGGAGAGTGTAGAAGTGCGCGGTTTGCACACTGCATTGTACATTAGTTTCAACTATTTATGTAGGCTGTCGCAGGCAAAGTTTTCGAGAAGCCGTGCGTGTTGAAGGGTACCTGCTGCCGAGTGGTGCAATGGAGCCTTGCTGCCGTGTAGCCTCACACTTTGCACTGAGTACGCCGCCGGACTTGTGGGGTAGTTCTTCACGAACAAGGTGCCCACCATGCTCGACTGATATGCTGACGTGGGTTGACGGAATGTTGACGCGGTCGTCCTTGACAAAAAAAAAATTACCAAGTCCGTTTAGATGACCATGGATGTTCAGTTCCGTAAACTCCTATCAAGACTTTGTGAGTTGGCGCATGATACCTGGCGGCTGTGGTTGGTTTCGCGTCAGCCTGTAGATTCAGATGCGGAATCCGTGCCTGCATTGTGTGAGTGTGCGAGTCGAAACTGAGGGGTTGAAGCTGCATGTAAGATGAGAGGTCTCTTCCCAAGAGGGGGTGGAGTGGTCAATAGCTCATGCTGAAGGTCTTCAGGTATGGTATCTGAAGCCTTCAACCAACAGACCCTCTAACAAGGCCTGGTAGCTGGCTGGATGCGCTGCTGCTAGACGCATCCTGACAGAGAGCTCTCGCGGGCCGTTGGTCCTTCGGATTTGGATCTGCGGGGAGGGTTAGTGCCGCAGAAGCCCGCTGGTGCGACGAGTCATGATCATCAACACTTCGAATGCTTTTGATACGATGACGGGCGATTATCGAGGGGTTCGACTTCAGTGGCACAGGGTTTGTGCTGGCGCGCGGGAAGCTTTGGAAATTTTATGGGGATGCGGTTTGCTTGCTGTGTCCCGACCTGACTCATGCGAGCCCGTCATGTTGCTTGAGGAGACTCCAGAAATAGTCCCGACTAGTCAGCAAATACCCCAATCCCGATGCCCAGGTCAACAGCACCTACGACACTACACATGCCTCGTCTATGTCGCAAGACCGACGGTGCGGCAAAGGACCGCAAACTCAAAATCCCGGATGGGAGGTTTCAGGGTTTCGTAGGGGGTGGGGGCTCCCAGACGCACTGCTTGAGCCTTCGCATGTTGCAAGCGCATGGCTGAATCTAGGTCAACACAACCACCTATAGAGATGCACCGGGGGAGCAGAACAAAGTCGAATACCCCTCGCCAGCGATTGCGGGCATGTGCCGCTCCAGGTCCCGAATGCCTCGTCGACTGTTTTACCCTAAGTCCTAACTTCCCGAAGAAGCATTTGGCAGGATCGCGTGCTGCCTGCCGTGCCGGAAGTGACTCTTATAATTAACATTGTTGGGCTAAAACAGGGTTCCAACTGCCTAAGCACACCGTGCACGTTGAGCCATGTGCTTAATCTAATCGAAGGATTGGGGCTGGTACCCGTATCTGCAGAGTGACAGGGAGATAGAGAAAGATCTCCCGAAGTCTCAAGCTTCATCTCGTGACGGGACTTGGAATTTCGCAGTTCTTGGTTTCCGCTTCCAAAAAAGAATCCGCGAGGGAGGCTTTCTGCATTCAGGCCGGAGGACCTTATGCACAGAACTCCCTGCACTTGTTGCTTCTCAGGCCCTGTTTGGATAGACTACTCCTCGACCATTATGTCATTATGACGTCCCATCGTGACTTTACGCGCTTGAGGCGACTCTAAGCTCGAAGCCTGAAGGCGTTACCCATTGCATCCCACGGTTACCTGTGTCACCCGGCCACAAACCATCTTCCCTGCGAGCCTGAAAACCTACGAGCATGAGATCTTGGGTGTTCGGGGCATTGACTTCTTCGATCTTGTGGGCCGTGTTTGCGAGGCTGCTTTGAGGTTTATGATGTGGGAGTTTCCGAAAATTTGGGGAGCCTTGTTTTGGAAACTCCCATGTGGTCTGGTCTTAGGGATCAAGCTTTTACTCCTCCCTTGCATCCAAGTAAAGATCCGGACCGAAGGCGCTGGCAAGGCCTTTGCTCGCAAAGTTCCACTTGGGCACCGGGTTTCGATCTTCCGATTAGCTTAATTCTGGGGGCCTTAACAGTTGTTTTGGGGCCCAATATACTATAGCTATAAAAAGGAAACCACCAAAATAATATAGGTACTACTGTAATGATTGAAAGCCCCTATGTTGTGCCCCAAGATTCTCTGCAATGGAGAGCTTAACGAGTCCTTGATCGGAAAGCGTTCGGGCGCGGAGCTTCGGGATCTGGTTTGGGGTTTAGGGGACTTCGCGCCCACTTCCGAACTCATGGACAAGAGCTGAATAGAGCTGACAAGAGCCTGGGTTCCAAAGGGTCAGAACCGAGTAGCTGCACAGGAGCTGACAGGAACACTCGGTACTTCAGAAACCCAGCCACAAAGCCTGCAAGACGTCGTCGCCAGAATTGATTCTCACCCCTGCTCCAGGATGTGACGGGCAGTAGTCAAAGCTGTACTGGGCAGCATCTTGTAGGCCAAATGGCAGAGTTTTCGGCATACTCACGTACCGATGTAACCCTTCAAGATCCTTCAAATAAATTCTCCTGCTTTTCATATCCAAATAAATTCCCCACCGCTGCCCTGGCACGCAGCTCGACCTGCTCTCCCCGTCGATCTTGCGTGAGAAGATCTTGGATGTCATGTTGCCTTGCCGCACTAGGAGCAAGGGCCCTTGGTAAGGGTCAACATCTCTTTGTCAGCTATTAAAGCCAGGTCGGGGTGCACGCCGCGTCGAGGATCTGGCGTGGATGGCAGGGTTGGTCAGACGTCTCCAAGGCTTGACATGATACTCAACATGACAGGCTCAGCTCTTTCTGTTGTGGACCTTCCTGGCTGCTATGCCTTGAACAACTTCAGAGACTAATTCTGCATCCGCCTTCACAAATCAGGGGCAAGGCCACAACCTGCTAAGCACACGATCTAGAGCCTGGGAGCGGCTTGAGCGTTGTATTTTGGAGTACGAGGTCATTCAGGAGCCTGTACTACTCGGGGTTTGATCCCAGCAATAAGTTCGGGCAAGACGCGAGTTGAGCTAGGCCAGGCAGTATAAGTCTCTTGTGAAAAAGGTCCGCATGCGTGATGCTTGCTGGTCGTGTGACTGCCAAGGCTGGACGTCGGGGATGTGGAGCTCGAGTTCAGGACGGGCAGTGCAGGATTGTTTGTGGAGTTACGAAGTTCTTTCAAGGCAGGATGCCCTCACGGTGTACACAGTCTGGGTTGTGTGGTTTGGGGACTCTAAGTTTCACCACGCTTGGTGCAAGTAGCTTCCTGTCTTGAGTGCATGCTTCGAGCATAGATACTGCCGTGCCTTTAGCGTTGAGAAAGAATAGCCAGAATAGCTGAATAGAATTACCAATACTGAGGCATGTTGGGGGTTCCTGACTCCAAATATAGGTTAATGGGCACCGGGTTCTTCAAACAGACGACGAGGCTGGATTTTCGGGGGGGGGGGGGGGGGGGGGCAGAGCAGGTTTGAAGATTTCCCATGCGGAATGCGCGGAATACCGTTTAGCATTGGGTTCCTTATTGTTAAGGCCCCAACATGAGTTGTGGGTCTGTGCAAGCATGGAAGGTTTGGAAAGGGCCTGGTGAACCAAGAGAAGTGGGAAAGGAAGAGTCATGCAAAGATGTGTCCGCCGAGGCCATTTGAGGTTAAAGACTTGGCTCTTACATGCGGCAGATTTGCTATCACACATCCCCCGGATGCGGTTTAGTATACGTAGTAGGTTCGTGGTGTATTGTTTATGTAACTCGCCAGTTCTACAGATGTATGCGACTCCGATGATTCAGACCCGCGGCCCTGCAAGTGATACCTACATAGTACTAAGCAACGCGACTCTTGAGCTCAAGCTGCGCGAGTCTTCATGTCTGGTTGCTTTGCGATGTCGTCGAGTCTGCCCCATCTGATCCACCTGACAGACACCTCGAGTTAGCCACATTGGCAAAGTCTGTAGTTTTCGAACTCATACAGCTTCCATGCCCATTCCTGCGCTGCCCATGCCGACTCCATCAGCGGCTGAAGTTCACCCGTCAGCAGCCTCCGCGGCTGCGACGGCAGTGTATCAAATCTCAGAGCAGCTGAGCTGCACACTGGCAGTGGCAGATTGTGTGTCTGGGGAGGATGCAACACTCCCACTAACAGTCACTAACACCTCCGACATCTACACCGAAACCCCGACTGTCTGAGACCACAGCAAAGGAGCTTTCAGCGGGTTGTGGACCAAATCGTGCCTGGGCAAACCTGTGGGTAAGAAAGACATACAGTACTGTTGGAAGACTTCTTTGTTTAACGGCAGCCTTGAGATTGCTGCTATTCTATATCTGGCGTAGCTAGGCTGAAAAAGCAGTAGGTTTGCTGTTGATTTTTGCATACAATGGAATTTGATGGGGATCGTGCCGCCGGCAATGGTTCTAGGTGTTGTCCCGGCGACCTTCTGCAACTTTTGTGTGTTCATGTGCTCCCCGGGTTTCCTGGGATGAGGCACTGGGATGTCACTTGGTTGTTATTGTTGTTGTCCCTGTCGCTTGGGTTGTCGCCGTCACAGCCGGCATCAACTGCAGCACCGCTTAGGCTCTCGTTGCAGGATCCCCCCTGTCTGTGTAGGCCTGCGTTGGAACACCTGGTACAAAAGCTCCAGAAACCGAGCACACCCCCGAACCCGGAGAAGTCTTGAAGCTCCCATATATTTCAGGTGCAGCAGCATCTTATCGAGCTGGCTGAGCCTCATCTGCGTTTAGTCTGTGGTGATTGTTCCAGAAGATGAAAGACAGTATGGGAGAGTCCTATTAATCTCGTCTCCTGTTCAGTGGGAACTTCCCTCTTGTCGTCTTCACGTCGCGTCGCTGCTGCCTGTAGTTTTCGTGGGACGCGGACGGCACTGGGAGTTTGAATACGGCTACTCATGGTTGTAAACTTTTAACTTTCACTGCAAGCACTGCAAGTACACTACATATCCTGATGGTATGACAGTTTTGGCTTTCGAGACTACGCTGAGGAGGCATCGCGCCGCAAAGCCGAAAAAGGGGCAACAGCCTTTACAAATCCGCAGTGCCACGAGGCACCTGACCTGTTGGCAGGCTTTCAGGCTTGCGATCTTCCCCATGCCACCAGGTTGCTTAAACGTCGAGAACGGCAACTGAGAGCCGGTACGTCGGGTGCCGACTCTATACCCCTATGAACGCCGAACTTAGAAGTAAGTCTTGGCAAGAGCCGAGCGGTTTGGGACATGCCTCTCCGAGGAAGTGGATGGGCATTCGCAGCATCAACGGCGACCGAGCCTGGAGAAGGATGCTAGCAAAGCAAGCAAAATCACCAAGGAGCACCGGAAGTTTGGGGGCTCAAGTTTGGTGGCTTATAGAGCAGAGGCAACGAGGTTGGATCGTTCCTCTATGGGGCTTGATCCATGTTTACACTGTCCGGCATGGAGCTGTAAGCCTCATCTACTTGCGCGTCAAACCCCATGCATTGCTTCATAAGTTCGTAACTACTGTGTTGCTGTTCATTTTGGCCGTTGTACTTTCCTGGGCCATCCAGCGATGTGTGAAGCGGACAATAGGTTTGGGTGGCACATGCTGTTAGGTCTTTACATGACGTATCACGGGCTTCTGTTGCTTTCATACCGTACTTCGCACGTCAGTGCAGACATGTCACTGCATCTAGGAGGCAAGATTATGCCCTGGGGGTCTTCGTGCGTGCAGGCTAGGAAAGAAGGCGGATGAGCAAAACCTACTAAACAGTATACATTGTCCGAAACAACTTTACATGAGGTGGAAAGTTGTGTCACACATTCTGGTACTCCCCGAGGATTAATTAGTTATGTATAAGTTGCATTGGACCCCAAACCCGGTCAATGCGATCCTTTGCCAGCCATTGGAGTGCTTTAATTAGTGTACAGTAGAGTTCGAGGTCGCAAGGCTGAAACGAGCAATCTCGATGCTGCAGGACATGGATGAATCCGTGCGGTCCCAGAATCTTTGGCATGCTTGCAAAGTGTTGGTGAAGTTGGAGGGCAAACCCCAGAAGCATACAATTGAAGGGATAGAATAACAGCGCAGGCAAGCAAGCACCAGCGCATTCGATAGAGAATCGCAGGGAGCGCGCAGCCCTGCCCGCCCCAACCTTGCAAAGCCCAACCAAGCCAGCAAGGAAGTTAGAGCGTCTGAACTCCCTGGAGACCAACCGTGAGTCAAGCGGCAACAATTTGGCGAAGAAGCTCCATGGCTTGAAATGATCCTTGTGGATGCTTCCTGCAATTTAGAGCAGAAGAGGTTGCAGCACATGTTTGCGGCGTCTATATTCATACTGTACTCGGCTTGCTCGTAGAGATTTTTCTCTTCGGCTTCGATTAAACATAGGCTTGGGCTGGTGGTCTTACATGCTGCGAGTTTCGATGGAACCCTGCACTAAGACTATTATGAGTTGAGGCACCGAGATAGGACCGCGACAAAGACATAGTTCGAGCCCTTTGACAGTGAGAAGGGTGTGCGGGATCTTGTTTTTGAGGTGCCTTGCAGCATGGTCTTCAACACAGCTTTAGGCCCAACTTCCTCCCAAACATATCTGCCATTGGTACATTTCGTCTGCATGTACATCTGTGCATGCATGTGCTTGTTATGTTCTGATTCTGTTTGAACTTGAGTAGTCTTCGTTTCATGTTGACCGCCATTGACGTTGGACTTCGACATCTATCTGCAGGTTCAAGGAAAGATGCCTGGAGACACGTCGTCAGCCGCATGAAGTTCAAGCGAATCAGGTGGGGATGGGCCGGAGATTAGCAAAAATGCCGAAGTGCAGCAGCTGCGGCTTTACGCTTTCTAGTTGCCAGGGTTTAGGGCTTTTAGGGCTTCGAGGGTTTGGGAGTTGCTTCTCGGGACTTGAGGACCGGTAGATTTAGACTGTGAGCTCCGGGTTTTACAGTTGGCAGCATCCGCCTTGAGCAGACCGCGGCATCTCATTAAGGAGCTCAGTGCTTCTATCTATATTCCATTTGCTTCAACAGGCTTGCGACCGCCCCCCCCCCCCCCCCCCCTTACCGGTGAAGTTCATGTTGACCGGGCCTTGTTTAAGTCCAGGCTCGTGGTCAGGAAGCTTCTGAAAGCTGTACCAGAATGTGTGCCCAGACTGTGGAACCCAGCTCTTTCGGACAGGATGCCTTGATCACCCCTGACGCGAAGACGGAAGAGTTGTAAGCGCAGAGCGAGGGAGAGAGAGAGAGAGAGAGAGAGAGCACATTTGGGGCGAGTGGCCATGGCCTCCAGGTGCTCAACGCACTGGCCCACAAGGACACGCCTCCGGAAAAGCTTCTGGCCAGAAGCAGTTCTGAAGCAAGCTACAGTGCTCCAAGCCATTCCTTTTGGCATCATGTGGTCTGATGTCGTAGAAGTGAAATTCGTGGTAGATGTGGGGTTTTCATGCCTTCGAGGAATGAATGTCCTCGCAGCACAGTGAGGCCTTAACATGTGGAGAAACCTTTCGATTCTAGAATGCGACGTTCAGCCAGCAAAATAGACGTGCATTAGTAACGAGGTCCAAGGTCGCTGTTGCAAGTCAGCTGTACTGTAGCAGCCGCAGCAGAAGGAGTGGTCGCAACGGAGGTAGTATGACATGATGCTTCAGCTGCGCTTGCTTCTGCTGCTGTGATTTGTTACAGTAAGTGGAAGCCATTCCAAGCCAGTGGTCTTGTTCTGTGAGCCTGTACCAGGAACCTTGCCCCATCTTGCCCCACTGTGCGTAGGCGTGACTGCTGAAGCCCTAAACACGCTTGAAAAGCTTAAGTTAAGGTTCTTCAACTCGCCGTCTCCATCGATTGGGGGAGTCTTCGGCACCCATCAGACGTAGCTTGATTCAACGGAATCAGTTGAGATCCCACAGTAAGAGAGGAGGTTTGCTCAAGGCTGGGGAGGTGCCTTGGATTGGCAGCCGGGACTTCAGGGCTGGCCCATGGCAGGATTTTTCTGGAAGGTTCAGGAATTGGGTTTTTCTGAGCTTCGAGGCCGGAATCTGCTCTCCGCCGCGGACGAACTTGATGCCCATTAAACTGGCTGGCATGTGTGTATTTTCCTGTGAACCTTGACCACAACCTTTGCCTTGCAACCCGATGCGGAAGGTTGTAACCTGGGCTTGTTGTTCTACTTCATAC